ATTGAATTTTTAGCTGAAATTTAGTATGGGTAAACTAGACTTAATGAAGAAGATGCTAAAAAATTGCATCAAAAAAATCTATCGGAAACTGCCCCAAATGGCGACAGGCGGACAAAGCCTCCTGTAAAAGGACTTATTTGCACTTTTTATGAAAGTTCGAGGGCTTATTTGAGAGTTCTCCCTTTATAGAAAATATGAAATTATGTACAACTTTGACCGTTAATATATTTAATTCACTGTTAGTAAAAATTAAACAAAATGATAAAATGAGAGAGATTTAACAATAATTTTCAGAAATTGAATTTCTAATACATAAATAAATAAAATGTTGTAGAAGTGGATTATATGAATAGTTGTAACTATTTAAGAACAGATGTAATATTAAATTATTTTTAATAATTCTCTAGGAATTTTTTTCTTTATAAAAATTTCCTTCTAGCAAAACCAAATAAATTGAACAAAAGTATTCAAAGAGTAAACTTTTTACATCAGAATATTTAGCTTTTAAAGTTATAATTATTTCTCAAAAGGATGAGTTAAAAGTATTTATAAAAACAAATGTTAGAGTTTATTTGACTGAGTAAATAAGTTATTTCACATTAACCGAGTGCATATTTAGATTTATTGACGGAAGTGGTTTGCAAGAGTCATTCTAAAAGGCACCAAAAGGTGCGTCTAGGCATGAGATAGTAAAAAAACACACTGCATATAGTAGAAGGGCATGAATTAGATGATAACTAAAGAGTTGATCTCCAAAGACGTGAAGGTAAACCTAGACGCGAAAGGGGAGGTATAGGTGTGAAAAAGTGGAAGTTTTTTAGATTGTTTTACAAAGAAATTTATTAAATATTTCGAAAAAATACTTTTGACTCCGGCAAGAGATCATTTTTTGCATCATGCATGTTCCAAACCAGGATAAAAGAGGGTGTTGACGTGTTGTGTTAGGCGAGTAACGACATCACATGAATCGAAATATAAATTCATAAATCTTTTCAAAATAAGGTCTGGACGTTGTTGTCCTTTCAAAATATACTTTTATAAATTTGTGATATGTAGAATCTAATGGGAATAGTATAAAGCAACAATATAGCTTTTTCTATATGCACTTTCTACACATTTAAAAATTATATATATATGTGTGTGTGTATATATATATATATATATTGGATAAAGTAAAAGTTATGCTCAATTAATCTTGTATAATATTTTTTAAACATTTATTCTTTTTTCGTCATATATCACTATAAAATACTATGTAGTTGTTGGGTTTAATGCAACACGATACAGTAAATATAGATATAAATATATATGAATACTCTGCTTTTATGTGGAAATCCGAAAGGGAAAAAACCACGGGACATTTTAGACTAATGTCCAAGCCCTCTCATTCTCATTAATACCTCACCACCATTTACATGTACAATTCTTGAGCTCCCATTAATGGAGTTCTAATTCCTGGAGAGGAGGAGGAAGCAGGGATAAAAACCTCAAAGATCCTCCAAATGGAAGCAAGGCTTCCTATTTATAAAAAGTGGAGGAGGCGTTTCTATCCTAACGGGCCAAAAAAGGCCTTAATGGGCCAAAACAGTCCTAAATGGGCTGAGTTGGCCAAAACATGCTCAAATGGTGCCTAACGGATCAGGCTCGGAATTGGGGTAATGCCTTGGGCCTCTAAACACTAGTAGGCCGGAATAATATGCTTCAACAGTAGTAATTATCAATAAAAATGTAAAACAATGCTTTGCCTATTCTCAGCTAGAAGTTTTCAAAGATTTGAGAAGGTTTGAGACTTGACATGGACGTTTTGGCACACGTCATAGCCCTCACACCTTTTAAAACACTGTTCAGTGGCATTTGTTTAGCTTGAAGATACTTATATCAATTTCTTTATAGGCATTAAAAGGGACTAGTTCTTTATATATTCTCTGATTCAAATAAAAAAGCCATATGATGGATAGTGTACCCGGGGGGTAGCTTATCCGAGAGGTTATTGCGGAGAATAATAGAGAGAAGTCAGAGCAAACAAGTAAGAGAGAGAGTCAAATGTATTAAATGAACTCAGCGTATGAATCTTCTTTATTACAATGGAAAGTGGCTGCTATTTATAGTAGACATAAATGCTAGACGGGGACACATGTCAAACATCTGATGGCCAGGGGTCAATTTAATCGGGGTGGCATCGGCATTTACATGTGCATCGCATTAAATGCGATGGTTGGACGTGACACCGTATTAAATGCGGTGGTTGCCTGTTCCTAAAAGGAATCTTCGCTGAGTCTGCAGTATGTCGAGGGCTCTGTTTAGCCGAAGGCCCCTGTGAGCCGAAGGTTCCTGATTTCGCCGCCTCCTCCCAGTGGCTTTGTATGTAGAAGATCAGTTGTTTCCTGGAGTTTGAAGCCTTCGGCCAAAGGCGGCCGAAGGCACTCACATGTGTTTTCATGGGCTTCCTTGTATTTGGACTGCCATGTCTGGGCTTTGTGTGCTCATTGGTCTTGATGGCCTGAGCAGGAGAAGTAAAAGTCAGTAGACCGGGGTCCCTGGACCATATACTCCATCACCATATGTTCTCTATGTCTTGAATATGTTTTCCCATTATAATAAGAACTAAAAGACGATATAGCACAAACTACAAAGTAAATAATTTGTTTCCGTGACAGCCATTTCTTGTGTCATGAGAAAATGACCTTGTCGCGTGGTGGGATATACTAGGGATGGACTAAACCGGGCCAGGCCGGGCCGCTACTGTGCGGGCCCGGACCGGACCGGGACCGGTTGGCCGGTTCCGGGCTTTTAGCCCGTTTGGGCGGGTCAGGCGGGCCAGGCTCGGGCCCAGGTTTGGGCGAACCGGGCCGGGCGGTTCGGGCCGGGCCCGGGTCAATTTTTTGCTTTTTTTTTTTTTTCAATTTTTTTTCTTTTCCTAGGGTAGGGTTGGGTGTTTTGGGGAGGTTTGGGGGGTGGGGTGAGGAGGGGGGGGTCGGGGGATAACAAGAAAGCAAAAAAAATAGACATTGAACCGGACCCGGCCCGGTTAGGCCTGAATCCGGTATCAACCCGGGCCGGTTCCGGGCCCAAGGATTTGCAAAAAAAGCCAGCCAGGGTCTGGCCCGGAACCGGAACTGGACCAACCCGGGTCCATCACTAGGATACATAGACAAGTATAAATTAAAAGCTCACAACTAATTCTTTGTAATTAATGACATTGGCAATTGTCACTTGTAAGTAATTAATGGCAATTCGTTAAGAATTGCCTCTGACTTTACACGATAGATGGAGAGAGTTGCTAACAGAAATAGAGATGGACTAGGATGGATCGGCCCAACCCGGGCCCAATACTGTTTAGGCCCGGCTCAGCCCGTTACTGTATAGGCCTGGTCCCGCTCATGTGGCTATAAGGGTGGGCTTCGGGCTCGACTTTTTGGCCCCAACCCTACCGGGCCGAGCCCAATTTCACAATTTCTTTTTTGAAATTGGATGCCTAGTCCTGTCCCGAAGCCCAGCCCGACCCGGTACTATTTGGACCGAGCCAAGCCCGACCCGATCCCGATCACGATACAAACTTGGGCCGGTACAAGACCTGAACTTCTTAAGCACGAAGCCCCCCAGTCCCATCCTGAAACCCGGTCCCATCCCATCCCAGCCCATCCCTAAATAGAAAGGTGTGCTAAAGTACCAGAAAAATGTTCATATTATTAATATAATTTTACTTTATCTTCAATTTTTTAATTAACCCATGTTTTTCTATAATAATATTTTAAAGTGTACTACACTTTCCTTTTCTAGAATCTATTTAAAAGTTTGTTACACCTTCTCTTTTTGGTAAATTTTTCCTTAAAAATACTCAATTACCATGCCCTTACCAGGCCGACACTAGGTGACTAGGCGGGCTCGGGCTTAAGAATTTCAAGCCCGGTACCGACTTTATCGAGACCAGGTCAGGTCAGGCCTAAACAATACCAGGTGAGGTCAGGCTTCAAAATGAGACTGGGCAATAAATTAAAAAATAGTGCAATCAGGACCGTGCCTGAAAAATAGCGGGTCAGGCCGGGCCTCAACAGTGTCGGGTCAGGCCGACCCATTCCGGTCCATCCCTACCCTTACTATTCTACTTTTTGTCTTCTCTTTCATATTTTTCCACATTCTCTCCTGTTTATTACCCCTACTATTTCATCCTTGAATAATGTGCCCTAACATATTGTAGTGAACTTTTAATCCGGAAGGAGCATGTGGAATTTCCTTCTATGCATGTTTCTATACAATTTTGTTCAATGTTGTCTATGTACACACGCAATTTGTAAAAAAATATCTATGTATAGAGACGATTTAGGCTTTTATACACGTCCAAAAATGTATACGAAACATGGTGAAAAGTATATACGACCTCTATTTTCTTTTCAATTGTCATAATAAGTATTTTAGAAATTACCCTAAATAGGAGTAAAAACGCTTTGAAATTCCAAAATAGGAGTATCATGTTTTTTATTCCTTGAATAGGAGTAATCTGCCAAGTCTGAAAAAAATGTCATGTTTAAAAGCCTAGTAATACCAAACATGGCAAAAATTTACTCTTATTTAGGGAATACGTAGTAAAAAACATGATAAGCCTATTTTGAAATTTCAAAACTTTTTTACTACTCCCTCCGTCCCAAAATAATAGTCCTGTATTTCCTTTTTGGAATGTCCCAAAATGATGATCATGTTTCCCTTTTTGAAAAGAAAGATGTGGTTCATATCATTTCACTTTATTATACTCAAATCTCAACCACAACTTTTAACTTTTCAACCACTTTATTAAAATTTGTGCCCAAAAGAAATGAGACTATCAAATGGGGACGGAGAGAGTACTATTTAGGGAATTTACTTTATTTTATTCACATAATTTAAGATAATGTTATAGGTTTGTGCACAGTTAGCAAATAGTAGGTGTTGGAAAAAATGGACGCTTATAGACTTTGTAGGAAAACTACGGCATAACACTTGAGTAGGAAATTAAGTATGCGGAAATGGAAAGTGATATGTCAGAGAAATAGCATGTCTTGTTATTGAAGTTCAGCTGTTTTTATAGGCATTACAAAGTTGTAACCAACATTAATCATAATGGCGTATTAATAATGAAATTAATATGACATTATCTACCGTATTTGCATGTCTGTCTATCTAGCAGGTAGGTCGGACGTCTTGAGCTCCATCCTTGCTGGGCAGGTAGGCCGGCTCTCTGCCAGGCTCATGAATCACTCCCAGACATGCTTGTGGATGACTTCCTACTGTGCTAGTAAGTCGGCTCTCAGCTATGCTAATAGGACGCCTAGAGCAATTTTTAGAGCAATTTTTAGATCAATACAATCAAATCAAGTTTACATGTTTAATACATATACAGGAGTAGTAAACTAACTAAGAGGATAAAACTTCACCTCCAACTAACTACACAAATAAAAGTAGAGAATAAATAAAGAACATATGTACATTAACATAATAATTAAATAAAGGTGACTAGTATATATATTTGTTTTAAAAGTCAGACTAGTCGGTCTTCTAGCGCCGGGATTACTGTGAAATCAGGCATGTAAGCCAGACAGTCGACTTTTCGGGCGCCTAGAGAGCCTAGTCGGCCATAAGTTTCTAATTGTCCGCCCACTTTATTTTTTCATGGTTCTTTCGCTCCAGGCTTTTATATCAACTAATTCTCCTATTCTCATCTTCTGTAAACTTTCAATTTGCCAGCAACCTCTTTCAAACTCTCCCCTAACAGGAAACACTTTTTGGAGGTAATCCTTCATCACTTCACTGTTTATTTGGTTAACCGGCTTTCATCAAAATTTTCAGTAGTTTTTAGGAAATTTGAAGTATGATATGTTGTATACAGTCCTGAAATATGATTACAACAACTTGTTTTAGTTAGTGATGTCTATACATAAGAATGTCTGTACGTGAATAGTTGATATAAATTAGAACTAGAAGTTAATGTGAGTAACTCATTGTTGAAACTTTGTAAGTAAGGTGTTTGACAAAAGTCATCAAAGAAGTATAAATCACATTTTTTAAATGCAGTAGATTAGAAGTTGGACACTTGGACGGCTGAAATTATCTTATAATGCTCATACTTAATCAAGCTAAGTCAATCGTTTCATATGTCATTTATAGGTTTATTTAAGTTCAATTTCATTTATGTTCAACAACAAAAGCCTACTAATATCTTTTGTTTAAAATTTAAACTAAAATTTCATTTAACTGTTTTTGTATAATGTGAATTGTTTCAATTAGTCATTTATGTTTCTATTTTTTTACTGCATACACTTGAGTGCATGACTATATAAATATGACTTGATGCAGAAAATTAAAGATCATTACTACCAGGTCAGCGCCTAGTTGCCGATTAGTCGGCCTAGGCGCTAGGCACTCTCTGTCGTCCGACTAGCACCTACCCATTTATAGAACATTAGTATATATTATGTTATAATAAGTGATCGATTATCCTTAATAAAATCTTTCCTTCATAAAGAATAAAGTATATGTGTGATTGATATGCAGATCTCACAGTATAATTTAGCATGAAATGTTGGACATATTTGAATAGTTTATGGAATACTATTCTCATTCAAGTCATTAATACATACATTTATAACTCTATGTATGCATGTCTAAATACTAAAATACCTACTTACTTTAGGCTACTATTCCAGTCGTACTAAGCCTAGCTAGTAAGTACAATTCAACTAGAGTAAAAACTTCCATGCAAGAAAGATAGCAGTTACTATTCATGCAAAACAGGAAACCTAGCTTCCCAACTACACATCTTTTTTCACACAACCATCTTTTCATGGTTTTGTGACTTCTGATCAAACTTTTCAATAACCTACTATCTCCTTATGTTCTTTTATCCTTGTTTTCAATTATATTATTTAAACTATTACATTTATAAACACACAAACGCTCTTTTCATTGTACTTTGGGGTTTAAAAATCTTATATAAATCATCCCACCATTTTCTGTGTTCACTTATAATTAAGGCCAGTCAACAACAAATTTTACTATCCTTGATGTTAATTAACAGGCTATAGCCTATTAATTTTATTGATTGGTGGGTGTAATGATATAATAATAATGCAGAGGAGCAATGGAACAACCTCAGCGGCATGTGCCTCATGCAAGCACCAACGTAAGAAGTGCACGGAGAAGTGCGTGCTGGCGCCGTTCTTCCCGGCGGAGAAGAGCCTGGAATTTCAGGCGGTGCACAAGGTGTTCGGGGTGAGCAACGTGACAAAGATGGTGAAGAATGTGAGCGAGGCAGAGCGGCAGCCGGCAGTGGAGTCACTGGTGTGGGAGGCGGTTTGCCGGCAGAATGATCCGGTGTTAGGGTGCTTTGGGGAGTACAGAAGGGTGTGTGAGGAACTGAAGATGTACAAGAGTGGTCAATATGAGTCAACTACCACAAACATGGTCATAGGGTGGAATTATAACAACAGTAATAATACTAATGGGAATTCAATTGTGGGATATAATAATTATAATCATCATCATCATCATGCTCATAATAATAATTTCCAAAAGTTGAGGAGGGATACTAAGAACAGCTCACCTGTTATCTTGCCCCGCCAACTTTCCATCAACGGTTTCAATCAGCAATATTTTATCACAGGTAAGTCAGGTATAAAATGACACTAATTTACAAGCTTGACAGTAATAATTCTTATTTGGAGAATAAATATATAATACTCGTATTTTGAAACTGTCAAACATTTTTACTCGTATTTCGGGAATTTTCCCAGAAGAAATTGCAAGTTTGTACTCAATGACTAAGTTTATAATAAGAGTGGACCAAATTTATAAATACTAGGAAGTAGGAAGTACTAAATAGTTTATTTTTTAATTTCAAAAAAAACATATGAGTCCTATTATTTTAGAAGGCATGTATTTTGAAGGGGAAAATAACAGTGGTTCTAACTGAGATTCGTATGAGACAAAAATAACGGGATAGATGAAAAGGGTAAAATGTCACAAACATAAAGGGTCAGATTGAGTAATAAACAACTATAAAAATTTTAGACTAATCACATTTAGACTATATTTTTAGTATTAAAGTTGAGTCTTAGCAATATAGAAGATTGGTAATTCAATGAAATATCGGTAATTCAATGAATTATTAAAATAGGAGGTTAGGAATATGCTATGTGCACAAAATTACCATTTTCAACAAAAGAAACTGCTTTTCATTAAAAAAAATTGAAGAAACCTTGCTATTATATTAAACCTAGAACAATTTAATAAAATATAGTTAAACGCAAAACAATAATTGAAAACGTAGGTAGACTTGTGTTTTGACTTGGACTAGTTTCAGTCCCATATATAACTAAACCAGACTTAAACAAACCAAACTAGACTAGACCAAATTCTGAAAATTGTAAAATGCACATAGATCATACATCTACCACAAGATTAGACCCAACCATATCAGACCTAAACAGATCACATCGGACCAAACCGGAAAGTCCAAGTAGAAACATCCTTAATAATCTATTAAGAATACAGTGTAGCTTATCATATTTTAAAAAGTTGTGCATATAATTTTTGAAATACAATTCAATACTTCTTGGACTGTTGGAATCTTGGACGTAATAAATTAAATTAATAAATATTCATTGTTTCGGAATTCACAGGACAGTATAATCCACCAGATAGCAAGTCGATGGAAAACAGTCTTTGGGATGGTGCATCATAGAATAGGATATATACATGTCTGTATTCTCCAACTTCGCCAGCATGGCTGAAGAAAAGTTACTATTTACTAGTCTGTTCGTTTTTTCCCAATTTTATTATTCGTATGTGTATTTATGATGTCTATCTTCCACAATCTATATGTTAGTACAAATTATGTGTATTATGTTCTCACTTGCATGTACGGCTGGAGTACATATATGTCATATGTGAGTGATTAATTTATAACGTTCATATAATAAAAAAGTACCTTTCAGAGAAAAGTTACAAATTATATCATACTACTTATTTATGAGGAAAAAAATCAAATTAAACCTGAAACCTAACTCATCTCTTAACATAGCACCAATGTCTTTCATTTTATTATAGGATATAACGCATCCACTTCTCAACAAATAAACCAAAGTAATAATTCTTTGTGTGGATGCGGATGAATTCGATTTTCAGAAAAAACAATATAAAACCAAAGTGTTTGATTTGATATGAGTATATTTTAGCCCCCCTCTTAAAAGAAAAATGGTATTAAAATGACTAATATATTGGCCGTATATAACCATCCATTTGGATAGAGTGAAATTACACAAACTCGCTAATTGAAAATGTATTTAGGAAAATAAATCTAGGTGAACCCAGATGAACAAATATTTTGCCTTTGAATAGTTACTAGATTAGACTAACTGAAGTGAATGCATTGTTTTGATGGAAGTTAATCGAGGTTAACTTAGTTCTCTGTAAAATCAGGTTCTTGTCAAAAACATAAAACAAACAAAGTGATCCTAAAGTTGAACCTCAAACAACCTACTGCGCCTAAAACATCCTAAGACAAATTTACCATACAGCAATATATGTACAAATCTTGACAAACTAGGTACAACCGTACAAGTTGGATTAGGTACAAGGGGTAATATTATGTACCATGTGCACATAACTTGTCTGTCACACTTTAATACTAGGAAAAGCAGGTTTTATTTAATCAACATTATTGTTTTCCTTATTTACTAAGTTAGTTGGTACAACTCAGCAGTTAATTGTTATCTTCTCCACTAACGACAGCATATGGTCAAATGAAAGTTTTCGGACAAATTGAAGGTTTCAAGTGTCATTACTCATTACTATGAACACATCCTTATGTATTACTACCTCCGTAACAGATATATCTTCCCATTTGAAAAGTAGGTGAGATTAAGAATAGTGAAAGGAGATATAAATTATTGAGGGTATGATGGGAAGATAATGAAATAGTGTGCTAGGATGAAGGATAAATCCAAAAAAAGTAGTTGTAATAGTGTACAACAACAACAACAACAACATTCAAGCCTTAGTCCCAAAAGATATTGGGGTCGGCTAACATGAATCGATACATGATATCACAACCAAAAGGAAAAGAAGGAATAAAGATAAAAAGATAAGCTATTATGAAAAGATAATATAAAAAAAGATGAATATATATAAAAATGATAAAATAAAAAGGCTGCAAATAATGCTTATATATATAAGGATAAAAAACTAGGAAAAAAAAGATGAGGGAAAAAGATTATCTAGATCACTCCTTCACGTGAATACCCGCCCTCCACTTAGATCTCTCCAAAGTTGTAATAGTGTATTATTTTTAAAATTATTTAGGGTATGATAGGAAGATTTAGAAATGGGAAGATATGAATGTTTCAGCTGAAAAAGTAAAGTGGGAAGATATGAGTGTTACAGAGGGAGTATTATTAAGTATTTTCTTGATCAAGTATCATGGGAGTTGCAATAACACAACTAATAACATATATTTGATCATATGAGATTTGGGGTAGATATTTTGGAACCTATGAAGTACACACTTTAAATGATTAATCAATCATAACACTGAATCGTGGGCATGAGTATGCATATATGGGTACATAAAACAACATTTGCAAAACATATGGGATCGTTTTAAGTGACTGGAAATACTCCCTACATGTGAATGATGTTATGTATGAAAATAAAGCAAGGCATCCAGAAAAGTTCTCTCAGCATCTTATCTTACAAATCAGGTACCTGAAAATTTCCTTCTGGTTGATGAGGGAGCCACTACGAATGTTCACATGCATGGAAAAGTGCACCAACCAAACATTACAACAGTACGAATCGGAATTGCTGTCTTGCTGATATGTGATATGTCATGTAAAATCAGAGATTCTGGATCTGCAAGTATATATTGAGTTATCCATTGTCCTATACCAATGATAGGCAACATGAGCGAAATTTTCCCACTTGCATTCACAAAAATATGCATTCCTATACTGTGTACTTGGTTATTATAATTATATAGAGATTTCATAGTCTACTGTCTACATGTAACAGAAATGAAATAAGGAAATGAGTGAACAGATGTATAAAATCAATTAAATGATATTTCTTATTTTCTCCCAAATTTAATATCTATTCCCTTTCCTGTTTCCCTTTCCCTGGTATTTTCAATAAATAGCTAGTCAAAAATTAATCTTTATTTGGTCCGTTGCATATTTGGAATGACCTTGAACTGGAAATCTCTCATGTTCTTTGAGCAATGAAAGCTGATCTCCATGATGACATTGATTATAATTGAAAGTTTTTTATGAAATGAAAGAAAAACGATAACCCTTGTGTATTTCATCATGGGGATAGGGGAAGGTTGTTGATTTAACTTGCTTATTATTGTTTTCACGAAAATAAGTATTACCCCCGTCCCATTTTATGTGTCTTGTTTTAGTTTAGCACAACTATTAATAAAATGGTTCAAAAAATAAAAGTTGTGGTTGAGATTTGAGTATAATAAAGTGAAATGTTGTGGACCACATACTTCTTTTCAAAAAAAGAAATATGACACTTATTTTGGGACAACCCAGAAAGGAAAGTAAGACGGTTAAATGGGACGGAGGGAGTAGCTTTAACTTGCTTCATTTGCTGAAATCGATTTTGTCTGGGACAACCCAGAAAGAAAAGTAAGACGGTTAAATGGGACGGAGAGAGTAGCTTTAACTTGCTTCATTTGGTGAAATCGATTTTGACAAATACAACGTATACTTTTAAGGGAAATCTGTCAAATAGGCCTCGTAGTATCTTAAAAAAGCCAATTAGTCTCTTGAATTTTAAAACGCCGTATTAAGCCAACAAACTTTATAAAAACACCCACAAGTAAATTCGTAGGTTAAGTTCAGATTACCTGGTGATGTTAGTTTTCTCACACTTAAAATATATCGTGGTAAAGGGTGAAAGTACGAGTATCGTCTCCACAGAGACGGTAAAAGGGAATTAAGAATTAATTAAATTCAGCGATTAAAAAGAAAATAAAACAAAAGCAATTGTGCGAGATTTGATTGATTGTAAGATTAACTAATGCAAACTAATGAATAAAAATAGATTGGTTTCTTCTTAATTAACACGAAGTGAATAGGGATTGATTCCGGGGTAACCAGATTTCTGACGGATCAAGCTTAATTTTTTTTTTAACCCGGAAGGTAAACTACCAAAATCATTGAGGTAAATGCCGGGGAACATTTACCAGAGTATTATTACCACACACAACAACAAGATACACGTGGGGGGACTTAATACCTTACCCACAACATAAAGGACAATCAGATTACATAAGGTATAGATGAGGAATCCAAAATAATAGCTCCCTTAAGTTGTTGTGGCATTTCTTCACCCTTCCTCCAATGAAAAGTATTTCACAGGCTCAACCTTGCCACAAATCCAGCCGGCATGTTAACTTGGGCTGGAATAACCGAAAATGAAAGAAGCCTAGAATGATCCAAATATTTGTGTCCAGCCTCCATCATTCTAGAATAGGAAGCCTCAATCTCTACATTAGGAGAGCCTAGAGTCTCGGACCATTTAATTGCCCTTTCTAGCGCTTCCTCTTCCAACTTAGCCGATCTGCTCATCGGAAATCCCTCCGCTGCTACAGCTTCGCCGTCGTGGTCCCGAAGAAGAAAGCCAGCTGAGGACTGCCCATTCTCCCTGAACACCGCCCAGTTTAGTTTCAAACGAAATGCCGGAGGTCTCACCCACCCGAAGAGCTGAGGTCGCCTTCTTTTAAACGAGCTAGGTAATAGCCCTAAATCCTTCAATTTATCATATCCTCCAAGATTTTCATTTGCATAACACCAAGATAGCAAGAAATTACTAACTTGTTTAATCAATTTCTCATGCTCCGTATCATTCCATAAGGAATCCCACTACGCTTTCCAGAGGTGCCACACAATAACTCCTCGTAAAATGTGTGAATACACCGCATCCATTGTCTTCCCCGAACTGCTAATCCACCATTAAAATGTTTGAATCAGGCTGAATTACATGAAATTAGTTTAATTGAGTCTAGCTAATCATTACTAAGTTATTACCGTTCTCGTGACGTAGAGTACAATAATTTAGAGGACCAAGCTGATCTCTTATGCGATAGAAACCTAAAATTATTGACAAAACGAGCGAGCGTACGGCTCCGTAATCGTTACTAATCTCTTAGCGAACGATTAAGTGTGTGTGAAAGTGTCTTAGAATAAACTAGATCTCTCTGAATTTATTCTACAAGCAATTGTAATTGTAGCAGTTGTTCTAGATTACAAGAGATATCAATTAAATCATTCAAACACAAATTAAACACATTCATGCAATTAATCTATCATGAATTTAGCCACATCATGATCAACCCCTTCATCAATCTCAAATCCCTCATTAAAACTACTCACAACTCATAATTGAAGAATCAACAGAATGTGGATGAATAGAAATAATTGTCATTAATCAAAAAGTAGGAACTTACAAATAATCCCAGGGTCTTGAACAAATAAGCGGAAAAACAACGTAAAACTCGTCTCTAGGCCTCTCTAAATTCGGTAACCCTCAATCGGGGATATAGAGGCCTTATTTAAAGAAAACGGATAAAATTTGACTGAAACTATGATTTTCGGGGTCAGGCACAGGCATGATCGTGCCTGCGGAGCATAAACGCGTCTCGCGTCCAGGCACGGTGTGCCTCCCTAGTAGGCACTACTGTGCCTGACCTCCAGCAACTTGGTACTCCGTTACACTATAGGCACGACGTGCCTATCTCCCAGGCACGACTGTGCATGGACTGTTTCATCGACCGTGCGTGCCTGGCTGCTGGGCACGGCCGTACGTGGCCTTTTCTTCATCTTTTCTTCCGATTCTTCTTCCAAATGCTCCTGAACGCTCCCGTGATCGGTCCAAGATCTTTTCTTCATCAATTCTTCATTGTGAACCTCCCGGAGACCTCCAAAACCCTCGAATCTCTATCAAATGCTCATCAACTCTTCTTGAATGCTCCTCAAGCGTCGATGTCGGACTCTAATTTCCTGATTTGGACTCCAAAAATACCAAAACTCAAAAATAGGCCTAGTAAACATAACTTGTAACACGAGGTGGGGGTAGGGTAGGTGGGTTAGGGTGGGGTTGAGGTGGTAAGGGGTGGCGGTAGGGTAGGGTGGATCGGGGTGGGACCGAGGTAAGAGCATGCGGTAGGGGGTGGGGTAGGGTCATTGTAGGGAAAAGGGGTACGCGGGGTGGGGGTTAGGCACTTAGGTGGGTAGGGTAGGGGTAAGGGGTAAGGTATGAGGATGGAGGTACTAGAATGGAATCAACATCGGAGCGGGACCGGACCCACCACTAGGTGTAAGTATGCAAATTCATTGCAGCGGCCTGTAGCATCTGTGTTTTCCAAATTTGGAAAACTAGTAAAAGTCACTTCTCCAAATCATTAAGGAAAAAAGAGAGATGTTTCATTTTTTCGTTTTGGAAAACGGTTTGGTAAACACGTTTTTCTGTTTTCCTTTCTCCAGTTTTCCAGCAATTTTCTTTGGTAAACACGTTTCCTGTTTTCTGTTTTCCAGTTTTCCAGTTTTCTGAAAAACTGAAAAACTGGAAAATATCTCTGTTAGTAAACAGGCCCTAAATGTCCAAGAAAATCAATCATTTAATAATAATTCCAAACTTTTGTCCGAAACTATCTTCATTTGGTTCAAGGTCATCATTTTCTTCTTCCTTTCAATGTCCCCAAATAGAACTTCCCCAAACACATATTTACTAGTGGATATCCTAGAAGTTCACTCTATTCCAAATAATCGAATCAGTATCAAACAGTCTATACACAGAATGTGATGCATTCTCTCCTCTATTTTGACTCTTCGTATTTGCACGTGCATGAGCGGCTTGTTGGATTGCTCATATTTGTTTCCAAGCCAGGTCATCACTTTGTGATCTTAATTTTCCAGATTTCAAATACCCACTACTTATTTACAAATTCCGTTGTATCCCACTTGAGTTTAAAAAGTTTAGATTTAACCCCCAAAAATTAATTACTGCTTGGCGAGTATCTCAGCCAGTCAACCTTGTCACCGAGTAGAGAAAATCGCCGAGTACTTGACAAGTTACTCAGAAAATTGAAACGGAGCGAGTAAGAGACTAAGAGTGCTAATTGCAATTTCCAGTTCCTACCCCATGTAGCGAGTACTCTACGAGTACTTGGCGATTAGATAACATAGGCCCACCACAGCGGTGTATAAGGGTGTTAGACACTGGCAAATCCAACTCTCAACACAGTAGATTCAATAGCAATTATGGAGAAACAAGATCAGAGAAAGTTTATTGATGCAAGGAAGAAGTACAGAACGTATACAAGCATTGGACGATTCGAGATGCCCAGTCTCCAAAGTCTAAGTCCAACCAAATGACAGTCTACCATTCTTAGACTCCAGACTTCTATTTATAGTACTTCTGTTTATAATACAAGCCCACTTATTATTATCTACAATAATAGGCCCACTTATTATTATTTCTAACAATAGGCCCATTCCTATCACTACTCCCCCCCTAAACAACCACCTTGTCCTTAAGGTGGGTGATAGGAATCAGCCATGATCTCCCACTTCCACTTCATTGTGGTACCTCTCCCTTCCGAGTACAACATTGCATTCTGGATCTTTAGCTTCAACACTTGAGCTATTATCTTTACCTCCACCATCGCATGAATGAGCAGATGCAATGACACTGTTGGGTCATGCTTCCCCGCTTTGTAACTCCATCCAAGTGATTCCTGAATCTTGTTGTTGTCATTACTTTGGAGGATTATTCCTTCAGGTTGCTCCAACACTTCTAGATCCTCAGAGTTGGTAAAAAGATCTGCCCTGAAAGTAGCTTGTAGTGTCTCAAAAATCTTATTCATAGTGTGTTTGATGAGTGATGACAATAAGTGCTTGATGTGTGGCCAATCGACTCCTGAGTCTGTATCAGTTAAAAACTGTGACAGTGCTTGACAAACATTTATTTTTACAGGAGGCACATCCTTGCCGATTACCTTAACTGCTGCATACACAAATTGCTCCTCAACCCATGTGGCAATGTCTTCTACCCGAATTTTCTCACAAATATTTCCTACAATAGCACCACCATTTCCAGAAATCTTTGTTACAAATATCTTCTCTGACACTGGAGCTAAATGGAAAAAAATAGTGTGGTATTTTCCACTCAACCGGGGATTCCACAAATTTCTCCTGCCATGATTCAATAAATCTTTTTCTTCCACTTTAGCAAAGAATGAGTTGATATCTCTCAACCAGATCCTGGTGTGGGCCTGCTGCTTTCTTATCTGCAGAAATTCAATGACACCATACACCAACTCCTCCGGACTAGGCCTCATTACATTTACACAGTTCTTGCTATCCAAAATTGTCAACCATAGCTTAGATAGATTGTCTGAAGGTATTTTCTGTTTCCAGCTATGAAAAGGAGTACCTAAGTGGAAGGAATTTCTGGATGAATAATCCACTAGAATCCAAGGCAACCATTCAAACATGTCAACAATCATATGGATCTGATGGTCAAGCACAACCACATGCTTTCCCATCCCTTGTGTCAATATTAGCAGTCTAACCCCAGCAGCTTCCTTTATTCCTACCCCTTGCTCTATCACCCCAAGACCATGCGTTGGAACATCCAGGCAATCTCCATTGGAACCCATAAGGCCTTCCATGTTGTTCCCTCCCAATGCTTTCAGCACACCATCTGTGATCCCCATAGTTAAGAACTCCAATTCGTCTTCTGTGATATGATAGTGGTGCATTACTTTTTCAGCATCATTATTGTTAGCTTCTTTCATAAGTTCAGAATTATAACCGTGGACATAGCTCAAACTATCAAACCCTGCAGAGGAATTATTTTGGTTTTGCATTTCACTTTTGTCCTTTTTCTCAAACTTTGATTCATCCTCTTCTATTTCCTCAGTTTCTTCTATACAGACAGTCCCTGTAGAGCTTTCCCAAATATTTGAACCAACCATTTGATCAACGGCAGATTCATATTCCATGGCAATGGACTGAACTCCCACAGAAGTTTTTTCCCCTCATTCCTCATCATCAATGATGAGTGTATCTTCAGAGTTAGGTTGTAGCTGACTCACAGACTGCTGCGGGAATGAAACTGACTCCACTTGCGGACTTTGAGAAGCGGAAATATGCGAAGAAACCTGCGGTGAGTCCTCCGAACTGAGATAAGTCATGCGCTGAGCTCTGCAAATTGAGACCTGCGAACTGGTAGACACTGTTCGCGACTGCGATTGCGAAGAAGTTCGCGATTGTGAACTATGAGATGATGTTCGCGAAGAAGCCAGATAACTCGAAGGAAGTGCTCGCGACTGAGAATAGACCTACGCACGAGACGAGGTCTGCGAATTAAGCAAAACTGTTCGCGAAGACGCTGAAGCGGTTTGGGATGACATCTGCGAACGGGAAGCCTCTCTCGATAGAGTCTTACTTGGTCGTGAACTGCTGGCGGATAAAGAAATCAACTCAGGTTGAAATCTACGAATGATAGATTTCTTCAGAGTGTCCCAATTAGTTTCTTCAGTCCGATTCTCCCACAAATGAAACCAATTCAAAGCCCTATCTTCCATAGCAACCCTAGAAGCTTCAACCTTCTCTTCCTCTTCAATGTCATTTAACCGAAAATACCTCTCCATTTGTATAATCCAGTTATAGACACCTTCACCGTTAAACAAAGGTAAATCTACTTTTTTCCCGTCAGAATAGGTCTTCTTCTGCTATCGCGACCCAGACTAGAGAATCTGGAGCGACATTGATCGGAATTACCTTCTGCCCCTTCCGATTTTCTCCAGGTTTGAAGTTGTTCATTTAACGCCGCCCTGGATGCAGCGATGTTCTTCATCGCGGATTTCATCTCCACGTTCGAACGCTTCTCCAGGTTCGAACGCTTCTCCAGGTTCGAACGCTTCTCCAGATGTCCGTGCGAACCAAAGGCCTCCAGTTCTGTTCGTCGCTGTTCTCTGCTCTGCTCAGCGATCGTTCGTGTCTTCACGAATCACTAAGTGTCCTCTTCCGCTACGGAGATGTGACGATCAATGAAGATGCCAGGAGAGTGCTCTGATACGAATGTTAGACACTGGCAAATCCGACTCTCAACACAGTAGATTCAATAGCAATTATGGAAAAACAAGATCAGAGAAAGTTTATTGATGTAAGGAAGTACAGAACGTATACAAGCATTGGACGATTCGAGATGCCCAGTCTCCGAAGTCTAAGTCAAACCAAATGACAGTCTACCATTCTTAGACTCCAGACTTCTATTTATAGTACTTCTGTTTATAATACAAGCCCGCTTATTATTATCTACAATAATAGGCCCACTTATTATTATTTCTAACAATAGGCCCATTCCTATCAAAGGGGTAAGTCTTCCCTTGTCATTTTTTTACAAGAGACCACTCCCAAAACTTGAACATGTGATCTCTCGATCACACAATAACACCTTAATCAGTGCACCAAGGCTCCTCTTCATTTTGACAAATACTTTTCTTTTAAAAAAATCAATTTCAAGTTTTCAACCATAACACTTAACAGGCGGAGCCTTGGCAAAATATGTCATGGACTCATGTTGGTCTGAAGAAATTGGTGGACAATGAATCGATCCTCTTAACATTAAGGATAGAAAGGAAGGGACCAAGTCTCTTGATTTACTAGTCCATCAAAGGAGTGAATATACTTACCAGCTTAGAGATTCTTACAAGAAAAGGCAACACTCTCAATTGCTGAACATAAGAATTTCCAAAGTCATATCTTCGAATTGAAAATCCCAACTGAATGTTCACTACATGGATTAATACCAGTTGAGAGCCTGAAAACACGAACACATTTTCATCCAGATTGTTTGTCAAGATATTGTTAATGTAAGGACCTCTTTCCTACGTGCAAATCCAAGAGATACCTTAGGGCATATGTAGACAAACTTCTAGTAAATACCTAGGGATGGCTGCTCGGATCTTATGCAGAGCTGTTTTACTGTGTGGCATTCACAAGCATTATGCATAATTTATCGTCCTTGTAAACAATTTTGGGACATTTTTCTTTATACTTCCCATCTCAATGAAGAGACATCACATAAGTAGACGGTCTAGGGTCCTGAAATAAGTGAACACTAACAAAGCGCAAGTCAGGATTTAATATATAATGTTAATACTTAATAGTAGGTATAGCTTAAGATGGTTTTGAAGGAGAAAGATGAAGAACAAATGAACAACTTAACAAAGAACGTACAAATTCTTGAGTAATTCTTTTCCAAGATCAAGTCACACCAAATATGGCACATGAGAATGAAAGATCATGTAAAAAAAGAAGACCTACTCATCATTGAGATAACTAGAAATTATCCTCTAAACTCTATGGAGTCATTTGGTTTGGGGATTTTGGAGAGTATGAGAGAGGAGGATTGTTTTTAATTACTAATATAGCGCAATTTGTTAGTCTTGGAATTGAAAATATCTTTCTTTTTCAAAACCATCTAATGTAGAAAATAAATTAATAACATGAAAAATCACTCATCCCCTTCAGCCAGATTGTTTGTCAGAATATTGTTAATGTAAAGAACTCCTTCCTGTGTGCAAATCCCAGAGATACCATAGGGCATATGATGATAAACTTCTAGTAAATACCTACAGAAGGCTACTCGGATCTAGTGCAGCAGTTCGATGTGCAGCACTAATAAGCATTATTGATAATTTATCGTCCTTGTAAAGAATTGTTGGACATTTTTCTGTATACATCCTATCTCAATGAAGAGGCATCACAAAAATAGACAAACTAGGGTCCTGAAATAAGCAAAAACTTACAAATGATAAATCAAGGTTTAAAAAATTTTATCAGTAGTTATAGCTTATTAGCTTAAGATGGTTTTGAAGGCAAAAGATGGAAAACACATGAACAATTTAACAAAGAACGTACAAATTCTTGAGTATTTCTTCTCCAAGATCAAGTCAAGCCATATATGGCACATGAGAATAAAAGATCAAGTAAAAAATGAAGACCAAATCATCATTGAGATAACTAGAAATTGTCCTCTTTAAACTCTACGGGGTCATTTGCTTTGGGGATTTTGGAGGGTATGGGAGAGGAGGATTGTTTTGTATTCCTAATATAGCATTGTTTGTATTAGAATTGAAAATCTCTTTCTTTTTCAAAACCATCTAGTGTAAAAAATAAAGTAATAACAAAAAAAAAATCACTCATACCCTTCAAACATGACAAATACTAACAGCAATAATGTATATATAGGATAATAGTTATACCTTGTATTTATTATCCATTTACTCCAATTCCATATCGAGGACGTTCGAATTTCTTTGACCTTCAATGCACTAAGCATGGGAAACTGAAGGACATCCAGGTAGTAGGGCCACCAGGTCAAACGTCCCAAAACTCATTTTCTGTTCTTTTACGCCATACCTGCCACAACTGGACCTATCCGTAGCTAAAGTAAGTTTGCTCATGCATTAATAATGAAACAAATCAACGGTAGCTACAAATTCCACATCTATCACCCCTCTGCTGCCAAAACAGTCTGGTTGATCCCATTTCCATGCATATGATACCTCAATTGAAGGTCAAAAGGAGACATGCCTTCCTTACAAAATCTATACATGACCCCGTTTGTGAAAACATCAGGCTTTAATTTCTGCTCGCACATATCACTTAATAACTGATCTACAAGAAAATTATCCCTTTCTTTTATCAAACCACAAAGAAGAATATCATAAGTTGTGACATCTGGTGAAATCCCCTTACTTCTAAAATATGAATATATAGTGTATGCTTTTGCAACTAATCTCTTCTTGCAAAGGCAGCTCATGAGAGCATTAAATGTCCCTATACTAAAATGAAAGCCTTCGCCAATTGCATCATCTAAAAATTTCACAAAAGGTGTGATCTCTTGAGCATTGCAAAAATACAGAATCAAACAAGTTGAACTCACTACATCGAGTTCAACCCCTTCATATTCCATTCTGTATAAGATCCTTTGTATTATTGTGGAATCTCCTTGTTCACATGCAGCAGCCAACAATGTATTGAAGGAAATCAAATCTGCGGGCCAACCAATCTGGTAAAAAATCTCTATAGCTTCATCAATTTGTTTCTCATTGCATATTCCTTTCAATATCGTGTTGTAGGACACAATGGTCGGACTGAAGCCTATTTCCATCATGTTATTCACCATAGAGAGTGCTTCTTGTGTTCTGTTACCAGTACACAAAATATTCAAGTATATATTATAAATCACAACATCGACAAAGCAGCAACTTGAAGAAATAATTCGACGAATGAGCCTTTCGGCTGCACTTGATTTTCTCCTTTTCAACAAACCAACTGCTATAGCAGCATAAGTATATTGGTCAGGCGTGAACCCTTTTCCATCAATAATTTGGACAAGCTCGTCTATCTTGAAGTGTCGCCTATCGTGTTGGCAAAGTGCTCGGAGAACAACATTATATGTAACCAAGTCTGGACTACATCCCTTAATTTCTTCCATCATCTTCAATAGGTCCAATGATTGTTTAAGTTTTCCATCATCAGAGAGAGACTTTATAACAATAGTATATGTTATCACATTAGCCTTGTGCCCTTCAGCTTCCATCTCATCTAAGCACTCAAATGCTTCCTTCCATGACTTCTTCCTACAAAACCCATAAACTAATGCGGTGTACGAGTAAACATCACATCTAAACCCCGTCTTTTTCAAATAGCAAAGAAAGGCTAATGCATAATCAATATGATTGGACTTGCATAATGCCCAGAATATAGGGTTAAAGTCACGTGATCCTTGGAAACAATCCTTGTTGCTTAAAAGAACAGTGAGAACAACAAAAGCTGTTGGAGGAATATTTGGGTCATCTTTGCAGAGAGCAACAAATAATTTCATCAAACATGGTTCTGTAGGAATACATCCCAAATTCAACATAAACTCAAAAATGCTGAACGAATCACCCAAACTGCCCAAAATAAATGATCTCTTCAACAACTTGGATAGCATACTAAATGATGGTAAGAAGCCAATTTCCCGCATATCCTTGCTTATCCAAATTGCATCTCTCAACCTCCCCAATGAGATCAGCCCATTCAGCATGGTGTTAAATGTAATTGCATTAGGGGAAGGCCCAAATCTCTTCATCCCCAAATATACCTCTACTATTTCATCTATGGATACAAATTTTGACCTCATGTTGCAATAAATTAATGAATTATAATCATGAACAGTAGGCTTCCAGGAGACACACCTCATAGAATTCAATGCCTCAATAGCCTTCTTGATACATCCGGATACAGCATAAACCTGCAACTTTCGATGTAGTGCATAGCTATGAAACAGGGACATGCCAAACCCTGGCACAAAATCAGGAGGACAATACAATGACAATTGTAGGACACCACTTCACATGGTGTGTGGCTGACCAGATACAAAGAGCATACATATCTCGGGCCTCTCGGCCTAGCCGGGGACGGGAACAAATACGGTGCAGGGAAACAGCGAATTTTAGGATACTCCGTGCGGTAAAAAGCTGCAAAAAATAAATACTTTAAAATAAAAAAAGAAGTTTTGTGGGAATTCTTGACCAGAGCATAGCTTGAAAAGGAATTGCAGATACGAGCTTAGAGAGGTATACGGTTTGCGAATTGCAGACTTGCTAAGGAATTAATCCGTGCTATGAAAACACAAGAATGGAGAGATTCCGAATGAAGGGTATATGCAGGCGGGGTCAAGGCCGTCTACAGCAATTTTGAGGCCCTAGACGCTCAAACTATAATATGAAATAAATTGAAGTAAAATACATGCAAAATGCATGCATATATTATGAATGTTAAGAAAAAAATCTTTGAATGTGAATAATTCCAAATTGACAATAAAATGATACTCCGAATAGCCTAATTTTCTTGATTTTTGAAGAAAAAAACTACTAAGAGCATCACTACAATCAAGAGTAGCTAACATTCTTTTCAATTGAAAGCACAACCAAACCAGCTAATCTATATTAGGACATGATTGATCGGAAATAACTTTTTCTCAACAATTAGAAATATCCTCTCTGCAACAGGAAATTGTGGATAAATCATCAAAAAACTATTTTAAGAGACAGAATACGACAAAATTGAAGTGGTAACATAAAAAATCACTCATACTAGGTGAAAAAAATCAACAATTAAACAATCAATAAAATTGTGTATGCAATCCAAGCATTTGGAAAACAAAAAACTATAATCAATCTATTTTTTACACACATAAATCAATAAACTAACTCATGGATATTGGATAAATCAACACATTTATAGTACATAATTACCAATTCAAAATTGCAAAAAAGTATTAAAAGTCAAAGTGCAAATACCCAAAAGCACAAAAGCAGAAAGTCTTAACATGAAATTGGAGTTGCTTTACTGCTTCGCTGTGCGGTTGTGCGGTTGTGCGGTTGTGCCCGCTAGTATGACCTGAAGTCCTTAACTGAGTGAATTGAAGTCGCCTACAGCCTACTCGCCAGCTCGGCTACTCCAGGCCTCCTGAGTCCTGTCTTGCGCGCCTCAGCGATTCCTCAATCCGTCTGGCGGTCCGGGCCTTGCGCTGCCTGACGATGCTGCTGTCCAGCCGTCCAGGTCTCTAATTACTAGACCCCTTAAAATCCCACAATTCCCTATGGGCAGTAAAGGGTAAAATTCTGAATACCCATGGAAGCAGGGAGGCAGACTCGCAGGTATGGTGGATTTTTTTAGCAAAAACTCCTCCCTCCCTAAGTAAATCGGATTGATTTTATGTCCATTCCATTAAATTTGTCTATGCATCATAATTCCTTCGATCCTTATTAAACATTACACTTTACTTCACACATATTAACGAAATAAATTTGACTTTATTTTAGAATACACTGTTTGACACTATTTGACACTGTTTTGCACTGTTTTGCATTGTTTGGTGTAGATTTGTTTGTCAAATAAAGCAAATAAGGAAGTGTAAAGTTTAATATGGGACGACCCGAAAAGGAAAGTGTAAGTTAATTAAGGACCGGAATGAGTATTTAATACTCTAATATTTGGATGGTTACGATCAATATTCTAAAAGGCGCTAGACCCTAGTTGAGCGACAGTTTATCGCCTAGCGCCTAGGTCCCTAGGCGGGGACTAGTCGGATACATAGAAATTATAGTTTTATTAATGTTTTTGCATAAATAGGATTAGTACTGTTGTGTTTGTGTATGTATAAAATAATACACACATGCACATTAACATGCACGAATGATAGAGTTTTCACGTTTACTAATATATTATATCTATTCACTTAACTTCATTATGTAATAATTATTACTCCGTATTAAATAATAATAACACTTAATATTATATATAAACATGTATAGTTCTTATTTTAACCTACAACTAGTAGCTTTCTTCATATGTATTTGTTGGGTTAATGGCCCAGTGGGGGTTGGTCCCGGGGATGGATTTATGGGGAGCGGCCGACCCCTTGGACTTTTAAAATTTTCCATTATATATGTAATATTTTCATAAAATTTTCATACTTTAATTTGATATATATTTGTTCGCCCCCGTTAACTTTTAGTTTTCAAAATTAATATATAGTCTTACATAATGTAAAACTTAATTGGAGATTTAAAAGAGCAAACATCTAAAATAATTTACATACTTAAGCAAATAAACAATATAATAGAACAACTTTGATCATTGTTTAAGACTTGGGATATTTATTATATAAAAATTCCTAGTTTTGTAATGTTTAGTTATCTTTATTAGATAATCAGTACTCGATTTTGTAAAATATCAAATGATATTAACTACCAGACACACTAGTTGAATGGTTTTTAGATCATGTGAGGTGAATCCAAAATATAAATTTTTGTTGACATTAAATTAAACAATTCATTTACTTGTTAGGTTCTACAAACTAATTATTCCATAGATAATAAACTTTAACTTATTTTAAGCACCATAATATGAATCAGCAATATAATATTATTCAAAAAATAATAATGTCATACATACTATTGTAATAATAAGAAAACTCTTCATGACTCACAAACACCCTATTTGTTAGACAAATATTGTAATTCAAAAATCAATTCTTTATTTTGATAAAGATTCATGGGATTAAACAAGTGGTTAGTTCCGATGGGTAAAGGGAAAGAGAAAGCAAAGTGATGACACTAATAAGGCATCGGGTGTGAATAACTATGGGACTCCACCAGAGCAAGAACATCATGTTACAGGAGAGAAGATGGAGCAGAAGCGTATGAGGGTTGACCAAGGAGTGAAAGAATATGTGCAAGCATGCATGGAGATAGAGAGGAAATTGTCAAAAAACGGGGAGGAGGCGGGCTACAAGGCTCACCTAACGCGCAATTGAAGCTTTGGCAGGAGGATATAGCAAGGACGGAATCTAGAGAACTCCATCAGCTGCAGTTTTATTTCTATTGCATTTTTTATTTCAGACTAAATTTACTCGTTGTTTTTGTTTTTCACAATAAGGGGGTGGGTATTTGTTTTTCTTTGTGGACTTTAGCTGTAGGTTCTTTGGTTATTTTCTAATTTTTCAGGTTAGGTTTTTGGGTGGAAGCGATAAGGCTTGTATGGCCGAAAGCTTCGAAGCTCTCACATGGTTAGCAAATAGTCTCGCTCTTCTTAGGGTGATCTATTTTGTGTCTAGTTAGAGAGTGGGAGAACCGTTTGGCTATGCGGAGCCTCATAGGGAGGTTTGGCGTTTCTTCATTGTGAGGTTGTTATTATCATTGATTGTTATAATATAAATGTTGGGAGAATTATCAAAAAAGCCCTCGGACGTTCATAAAAAATGCAAATAAAGACCTTTTTACAGGAGGCTTTGTCCGGCTATTGCCGTTTGGGGCAGTTTTCCGGTGGAATTTTTTTATGCAATTTTTTTAGCATCTTCTTCATTAAGTCTAGTTTACCCATACCAAATTTCAGTTAACAATTCAATCAAGAAGGCAGTCAAATGATTTTCTGAAATATATTGTGTTGTCTAACTGCGCAGTTATTTTAACAAATTCATTTGACTGCCTTCCCGATTGAATTTTTAGCTGAAATTTGGAATGAATAAACTAGACTTAATGAAGAATATACTCAAAACATTTCATCAAAAAACTTTACCAGAAACCACCCCAAATGACAACGGCCGGACAGAGCCTCCTCTAAAGGGGCTTATTTGCACTTTTTATGAAAGTTTGAGGGCTTATTTGATAGTTCTCCCTATAAATGTTTTCCTTACACTAGTGCAAAATTACCTTTTTGCGGCGCTTAAATCACCCAACGTGCGGCGCTTTTAGGCGCCGCAAATCTCGGTGTCGCAATTTAACCCGCGCGGCGCTTAATTTCAAAAAATCGCCTCTAATATTTTATTTTAAAAAAAATTATATTTAATATGTGTGGGGCACTTTTTTGCGTATAGGCGCCGCAAATATTTTCTTAAATTAATAATTACCGTGCGGCGCCTTTCTTAATATAAGCGCCGCAAATGTTTTTTAAAATAAATTAAATTAATTTCTTTTTTTTTACTTTCGCTACGCCTTACACAAATAAGCGCCGCAAGTATTCAACATTTTTTAAAAAAAAATCAATCGTATTTAGAATCATTCAAAAGTACATCCTGGAACAGAATTAACAAAATACCAAAAGTGTAAACTTTTTAAAATCATCACAATATCAACAACATGAACTTACACAAATTACAAAATCAGCAATGTGTAAGCAAGTAACCAACATAGATTACAAAAATCTTCATCAAAATGATTTCAAAAAACACTTAACACAATACATAACCAACATAAACATGTCGTAATTGCTAATATAAAAATTCCGACATATATAATCAATGTAAACAACTTTTACATATTTAAGAGTACATCCAAGAAAAATCGTGCCCATATATTGCGAATGTTATTAAACTCATCTTCAGAATATGCCTCAGTTCTTGAAAATCAATCCTACAAATATTTAGATAAAATAAAACATAAATAAAAAATATTACAACTTTTAAATTAGAAAAAATTAAACGAAGTTAAAAAATAAGAATAAATAATGATATACCTTTCTGATATCAAAGCTATCAACATACGAAATCACTTCTCATATGTATCGCATGGTATAATATCCGCATTCTGTGTTTCCGTTTTGTCAGGCACACTTTTTTGAAATACAAATTTACAAAATATATGTTTCAAAGTTAATGGTGATTGAAATAAGTTATTGATGAATTTACCTTAACATTATGTCATGTGATTGGCTTCCCATCACCATTTCTTGCGGAAGCAACTCTGTATGCTCTATATTAAAAAATTTATGTTATATGATATAAATAATAATAATAATAATCTATAGCAATTAAATAAATAAAAAATATTAAAAGAATACTTATTGTGCTAGATCTTTCTGAATGCTGATATTAGAAAAGCTTGGGATTGAATTGAAGATATAGCCTTTATTAACCGAGGGGCAAATGACTATCAAAATCCAATGAAATCTAAATATATAAAAAAAATACAATTAATTAAAAAATTAAATTTACATAAACAGATACATTATATAAAATAAAATTATTTACCCTTCATTATATGGAAGCAAGATCATTCTTTTTCCAAATGTCGCACTATTTACCCTTCTTTTTTCAAACTATTTACGCTTTAGATGACTAGAAGTTGCTCCAGAAAAAAGGTCTTCGACATCCACACAATTCTCACCATAGAATGTCCATGTCATATAGTTTTCTCTAAAACCCTTCTCAAATAAATGCTGAAGAACTATGTTCACGTCATTCTCTCTTTTAATGTTACGGCACATTGAACAAGGACATAAAATTCCTTATTGTCCTTGTTGCTTCTGATGCGCAACAGCCACTTTCACAAACTCATGAACACCATTGAAAAATTGAGAAGTATTTCGCAAACCATACATCCAGCTACGATCCATGATTAACAACACTAAACTTTATCTAAAAATAAAAAAATAATAATAAATTATTGCATACTTTTTTTTCTTTTTAAGCACACTTTTTATGTAAGATTGCAATTGAGAGTTATGCTAATATAAAACAACCTCTTGGAAGTGTTTTGCTGCTCATTACAACTATTCCAAAATTATATTACTCAAAATTAATTAAAATAAAAAATATTGAAAAAATTTATTATTAAAAAAATATGCATACTTGCTGTGAAATGGGAGACCGATGGCTGGAGTAAGCGGACCGAAGCTCGATGGCGGCAAGCGGACCGGAGCTCGACGCACACTTGACGCGGACGACCCTCGACGACTGCGACTGGAGTGAGCGGCGGAGATGCCTAGCTTCAACGGCAACGAAGGTGAGCGGAGGAGCGTTGTCGATTGGGCTGGAGTAGGTGCGACGGCGGAGGTGCGACGGCTGCGGCTGGAGTGAGCGGCGGAGTAGGGTGCTA